ACGTGTGATAGAAATTCTGAAGACATGTGATAAGGCAATAGCTTTCAGCGACGCGGAGCGCGGTAGGATTGACCCTCGATACGCTAAACCAACGAGGATTTATACGATTCCACATGTTCCTTGGAATGACGCAGGATGGAAATACGCCCAGAAGGAGAAGGAARAAGTTATCGCTTTCCTGAAAGAAAAGATAGTTTCCCACGTTGCGGAGCCGTCTGATAGCGCTTATGCAAATCGATGGTTCTTCCTACGAAAGCCGAATGGCAAGATCCGATGGATCCAGGACCTTCAGAAGGTCAACGCGGTGACGATACGAGACGTGGGCTCCGTGCCACACGCCGATTTACTGGCAGAAGGCGCCGCAGGAAGGTCGATTTATTCGGTCTGTGATTTGTTCTTAGGTTATGATGAGGTACCGCTTGACCTTAGGGACAGACACCTCACGGCTATGCATACGCCATTGGAACTAATACAAATGATGGTCGTCCCTATGGGTTGGACTAATGGGGTAGCCGTTTTTCAGAGAGCCATGATAGCCGTCCTCAAGGACTTCATCCCTGATAAGGTTGAAGTTTTTCTGGATGACTTTCCTATAAAAGGGCCAGTAGACAAGGATGAGACAGAGGTTGTACCTAGAGTTATAAGATTCGTCGAGCTGCACCTAACAGATATTTGCGCGGTACTCGAGCAGCTGGACGATGCGAATTTAACAGTCAGCGGAACCAAGAGCCGATGGGCCGTCTCGACTATTAAGATCTTGGGTTTTATCTGTGACTCGAGAGGACGCCGAGCAGATCCGGCGAAGTTAGACGAACTTCTGAACTGGCCCTCACCGTTACATAGCCCAACCGAGGCCCGGCAGTTTCTAGGAGTGGTCGGTTACTGGCGTATATTCATACGGGGGTATGCGGAGAAGGCTGAGCCATTGAGGTTACTCCTTCGAAAGACTGAAAAATTATATTGGAATTCTTCGCAGGAACTCGCTATGCAAGAACTTAAAGACGAATTTAAGGAAGGAGGACGCGTGTTGGGTGTGCCATTCTTTGACGATGAGACCGAGAGACCCTTCATAGTATCCACGGATGTTGGACCATGTTCAGTGGGTGGTTTGTTGTCTCAGAAGGACGCTGGAGGGAAGGAAAGACCGTTAAGATTTGAGAGTAGGACACTTAATACGGCTGAGCGTAACTACAGTCAATTCAAGAAGGAAGTATTAGCTGTTCTTCGGTGTCTAGATACGTTCAGACACTATATCTATGGGCGACGGTTCATCTTGATAGTAGACCCCACCGCGGTTGCCTCTGTCCTCCAGAAGGACTTTCGTCTGACGGACCCGACCATCGCCCGATGGTTAATACGGATTCTGCTATACGATTACACGGTTGAGAGGATATCTGGTACTAAAAATGTCGTGGCAGATGGACTTTCACGCATCCCTCTCGAGCGTCCGATAGTAGTTGGGGCCCTGACAATGGTAGAGCCGAGACGCGCCGAAAGATTTCTTGTTAATCTTTACGAGGGCAAGTACCGAACGATCGGACTACACATGACGGGAGAGGAGAGTCAAGATTCAGATATCCGGAGGCAAGCAGCCCAGTACTACCTTAGAGCGGGCCACCTTTTCCGAAGGCTTGTAGGGTCGGGAATGCCCTTACGAGTAGTCTGTGACCTTGAGGAGAGACAGACAATAGTTGCGGAGCTTCACGACGGGGTAGTCGGAGGACACAGAGGAGTCAAAGGAACCTACGAAAAGGTACGCAGGTTGTACTGGTGGGAATGACAGTATAAGGACGTCGAGAGGCACTGTAGGACCTGCGAAGAGTGTCAGAAGAGAGCTCTTATGGAATACAAAGAGTCACTTCATCCATCCTATCCGACCAGACCAGGAGAGAAGGTACACATCGATCTAGTGAAAATGCCGAAAGGGGTAGGCAATATGAACTACGTCGTGAACATACGAGACGATTTCACTGGCTTCGTGGACGGTAGACCTATCAGGAGTAAGGCGGCAAAGGAAATAAAGAACTTTGTCCTAGAGTACTTATCTAGGTATGGTTGTGTCACTAAGATAGTAATGGACAGAGGAGCGGAATTCCTAGCCGACGAGGTTCAGAGCGTGTTTAGGAGAGTCGGGGCGAGAGTTTCGATAGCCACCGCCTATCACCCACAGTCGAACTCCCCAGTAGAGAGGGGACACCAGACTCTGATAGCGTCACTCTCCAAGTGGTGCAAGGGTAAGGACAGTGATTGGCCACGATATTTTAGATACGCAATATGGGCGGACAACGTCACGGTCCGGGCTAGTACCGGATACCCACCGTACACCTTGTGGTTTGGGCGACATTGTCCGCTTCCCATAGAGTTTCACGTCGACAGCTGGACAACC